ATCTTAATAACGAGTTCCGTGGTTCGACCGCGGCTCCACATAATAATTCACACCGGTGCCGCGCGCGCCGCGGACGAAGGAAGGGCCAAGAGGGGAGAGGAACGAGAGGTGGCCGAGAGAATGACAAGGGGAATATGGCCGGCGAGAAAATGGGCGAGAAAGAAACGGAAATAAAGAGTGGATGGGAGAATATGGAAAAGAAGGACGGTGGAAAAAATGCGCGTGGAATGTAACGAGGCGGAAGAAATCGCATCTCGAACAATTCTTCCTTTAATATCAATCCCCCCTCCCCCTTGATTCGACCGCTTTTTCTTATTGTCTTATTTAATCCATCTCTTGGAATCTCTGAAAGAAAAGATCCGTTAGATTATAAATACAAGATCGAATGGAACAAGAGAGAGAGCTAGAGAGAGAGAGAGAGAGAGAGAGAGAATTAAATGCAAGGATTGGAGCAAGGGAAAAAAAAAACATTGTAAACCAAGATATTAAAGAGCGAAGTAAACGGTGAAAAAAAAAGAAGAAAAGGAGAGAGAGAGAGAGAGAGAGAATGGAGGTAAAGGCGCGAATGAGGGCTGAAAAAAGCAGGTAAGAGGTACAAAGTGAGGATAAAAGAAGGAAGGGAAGGAGGAGGAAAAGAAGACGGAGGAATGAAAGGAGTGGTGGAGATGGGGAGAAGAAAGCGGGAAGAAAAGGTGGTTGGTGGAGAAGGAACACAGAGAGAGAATCACCTGTGCGGTGAAAGAGAGCAAAAAAGATGGCCGGCACGGCGCGGTGATGCGCCAAGGTTCAGCGCCGCGGTCTGTAATTATCGCCACTGGCCGTGGGAATTGAATTACGAGGTAAATTCGTAACGTAGCGCGGCGTGTCCGCCATGGCGAAATCAAAGAGTCCGCCTCACGATTCTCTTAAATCGTTTCCACCTGTAAAAACTCCCTTCCCCCGACACACTTTGATCGCTTTCCAACCTTTCTTCTTACTTTCTTCTTATTAACCGACCGAACGGATGGAGGTTCGCGCGATGATTTATTTGAAACGCGAGGGGATATAATTGAAAAATTAAGAAATAATATGATTTATTTGGCTCGGTAAATCGCTAAACGATCAGAACTAGACTCGCCTCGAATCCTTTCAACGCTGTGATTCGATGTATTTATTCCACGATCACGTCTTCTCAATCGTTTTAAAAATAAAAATATTGCGAAAACTGACTTACGAAGTCACGCGAACGATACTTTCCGCATCCTCCATCGTTACAGCCATCGCTTATATAAGCGAAACGTACGATTTTCTTCTTCATTATACGAATTCAAAACTAATTTCTAGAATGCATACGTTATCCAAACTGTGAAAAGTACACGTTCCATTTTACAACCAATAATAATCATCGAAAAGTAAAAGATTAACAGGCATAAAAAATACAATGCCGTGTCGAAAGGTTTAACCGAAAAGATAGAAAAAAATCTCGAATAACGAATTCGAAGAAGAATACATAGGGAATAAACGCCGTTAAAAATTCATAAGACGGCGGGGATGGACTCGAATCCCTCCGAAACGCAGTTCGAGTATCACGCTCAGCAGCGCGATTCGTCCGCGATCGCCGATAAAGGAGGGTTCCTCGTGTTACAGGCCGCATCATCCGCCTCGAGAAAAGGAACAAACCTAACTTACTCGAGAACCGATCTTCTCTGCCCTCGAGGGTATTATTTACGCGACCTCGTCTTCCTCCATTCTTCTCCTCGATCGAACGAGAGATGATTCATTCAGTGGTTGGAAGAGCGACCGGTCAGGGCCTCGAGAAAGAACACACCAGCCATCTTACGGCCACCGCGACTCCACTCGTTAAACCACCAACAATGAGAGATTTTTCGATCGACTCCCTCTTCTCATAATCTTCTCGTCCTTCTCATCTATGATCCTTCGAAAATTACGATCGAAAATTAACGTTCTTTGAAAATTAACGTCGTTGTATATAGAGTAATATATGCGAATGTACGTATACTTTTACGTTTCGATTCTACGTTTTGTTTTCATATCAAACGAAACATCATTGTTTTTAGTATAGCGTTAAAGTATATACGAAATATTTAACGAAGTATTTGGATATAATTAATTCTATGGTGTATAAATTCTACGATAAATCAAGCCTTTTTCTCTTCGCCGATTTTTCGACCATGATTTGTCTAATAACGCGTTCCTGCCAGCCGGGTTGTTCGAGTATAATAGGCAGTCCATCAACACGGCCATTTTAGGTAGGAACAAATTAATTTATTTCGCCGACCGTGCCCGCGTGGGCGTCGATCTCTCGTTGTGTACCCTCGTGCCAATCAGAAGCGCAAACAGAAGTTAAATTTAAAATGAGCCAGCGACTCGAGTGAAATGCGCGGAATGCCAGGCGCCCCGCGAATATATTAAGCGTTGTTTGTCGCCGCTTTTACGAAGAAAATGGTGTCACGTTGTCGGGATTATTCGGTATCCCGAGGGGGGATACTAATTGCGCGAAACAGGTTAATTGCTCGTATATCGTGAAAAAAATTGAATAGAATAGAAAATTGAATAGAATTGATTGGCGGATTGATGTGAAGGAAATCATGAAAAGGTAATGGAAATACCTTTGTATTATATTTGGCAAAATAAAGATTAGAAGAAATTGGTTAGAATTGGAGAAGTAAAAGACAATTATTTACAAAAAGATTAGAACTTAAGAATTATCGTAAATCAATTGATACTAAACAAAAATTTATTGTATATCTTACATTGTTAATTTCTTTGATTAAGTTTGCTCTTATTTATTGGCCCAACTTAGCCAATCTTAATTTAATCTAACTGTTTCGAAAAAATATTTTTGCTAATGAATAACTTTTAAGTCAAGTAAAATCAACATTAAAAATTGACGTTTAATTACTACGAATCCCAACGTCTCGAGCAATAAAGCCTCGTAAGTTTTCTCGTTTCTTTTCAATCAAAGTATAATTGGAATCGTTGAAATATTATATCCGATGGTGGAAAAAATAAGTTCGATAATAATCGAACGAGGAGACACGATGATACGATGTCGATTCGATGTTGGCTCGTGACCAGACGAAAGAAAACACATCGGGAACACATGCGACGACCGCTCGTAAAATTAATAAGCGCAATCAACGTTAACGAGGACCATAAATATGGCCGCCGCGGCCTGCTTATCCGCCGATTAGCATAATCACTCCCGATACCCGTGGACCGTAATTTAAAAATATCTCGGTGTACACGGACCGTTTTACAAAGGACCTGACAGGGTCCATAGCTCCAAAGTTCGATGGTTGGATGATATATGGCAACTCGCCCTCCCTATTTTTTAATATTTAATACTCGTCGTAGCGTTGAAATAGCCAATTTATTTAACCGGGTTTTGGATTGAAATTTTTCGATCGTTATCAAAAATGTTTTACGAATTTGGTGAATTAATGATGGAACACCGTTTACGACTGATGAATATTAACACGGACGGATTAGAATTAACAATATCCATATCGTTACTTGTATCTCCAATAAATAATACAAATTTTTATCAATCTTATCTATCATGCCCATTTTTTCATTACAATTTTCGCGGTTAATTAAAAAAGAACATCGATCGAAGCATCGTTGAAAACGAGTCTTAAACTTATTATTCATTAATCCAGTATTTCTTGCAACTATATTAATACGATTTTACCAAATATATCGAGTATTAAAAGCACTCGTTAACGAACCATGTTGATTAATTATTGTACCGAGATTTCACATTTCGACAAAGATACCTCTCCTCCATGGAGGGATTAGCTTGGCAATCGGTATCCAATTAAAGGCCGAACCCCTAATTACACGCCAAGATTTCGTCTACCTTGATGTGTCCATTATTCCGCTCAATTCTTATCCTCCGTATTTGTAATGTAACGATAGTTGTTCGATAATTGTTCATTAATTCGATCGTTCAACGATTGTTGATCAAAGAAATCGTACATTCGGCTAATCTAATTTGCATCAGAATCCGACCATTATCACGGAAGCGGATGCATCGTCGCAAAGTCTAGACTCGAACTCGATGCCAACTTGCTTAACGACTTCAAGAATATCTTTCGTTTCGTTAACATTGTATCTCTCGAGTAGCCGCGCTATAAATTCTATTCCCCGAAACGTTCCATACGTTGTTCCAAACTTCTTGGAAAATTCAACGTAAACGTGCAGTTACGTAACATAACCTCCTCATTAACAACGAATTTCAACCTTTGTCTCGAATAAAAAAAAAAAAAAAGAAAAGAAAAAAGTCCTCCCTTTTCGCTCAAGAAGGAGGAACATTCCTTTAATTCTCACTCTCTCCTCGACGCCCCTCCACCGTCGTCCTTATTACCAAACAGAGGAGGAGAAGGTTTGCGCCGCTCGTTAAAACGTTTTTCGCCCGCCAATTTGCTCTCGGGGTCCCCCAGGTATATATACCCCGGCTTTGCTCGGCGCTGCACGCGAAATTCCGAGAAAGGGGCCAGAAAGTACCCACCTCTCTCTCTAGTCCTCCCTCTCTAGCCCCCCTATCTCCTTTCTTCCCTCGCCCCCATTCCGAGGGCATAAATTCGTGAATAAAGAGAGGAATCGGGAGGAGGAGGCACAATGAAACGAGAGGCCTCTAACGAGCGGGGAAAAAGCGACTTTACGATTTTTCGGAAGGGACCTGTTGCCAACACGCCTCTACACGGCGATCCTTTAATGGCCACGTGACGTGAAAGGCCGCTCGAGTTTCGAAGAAAGAGAGAGAGAAAGAGAGAGAGAGAGGATGAATCGTTGGGATAAATGTATCACCGGCCTGTTTGAATAAAACGCGCTTTTCTCACGCGGCGAAGACGTTCTTCGCTCGACTCCATTGTCTCATCTTCTCTTTCGAACGGATTCTTTTTTGGGGTGAGGATCGAAGGAGATCGAGTTTTAATTCGAGACAGAGAGAGAGAGAGAGAGAGAGCGATTGCTCTTTTCAACTCTTTTCCACGTACCTGTTTCAGGTCGAGAACTATAGTGACGTACTCGTAGCGATCCCCCCTGGCCAGGGTGGGGCTCTGCCACCACTTTCCAGGGCTCGAGTCGAGTATGTTGGTGATGTTGTGCCTCTTGCCGGGATCCGGGCTCCTCGCGTCGCACACCCCGCACCTCGACGATTCGGAAGGTTTGCAGAAGGTTTCCGGCCCTTCCTCGCCGCAGGTCGCGTTCACGAAAATATCCGCCTTCGCGGCCACGTTGAACGTCGACGGGAATATCCCCCCACTTTTCAGACTTCTGTTCATCCCGTATACCGCGGAGTGGCCTGCAAATTAGGGATAAATCAGATTAAAGCGTGCGTAAAAATTTGATAACATTTCGATGGTCATTGAATAATTGATCATCCAACATTTCGAACTTTCAATTTCAAAGTTAAAAATGTTCTAGTTGCTAGTTTGTTCCACTTTCGATCCTTACTTACTTCGAATGGAAACAGGCAACGAAGAAAAAAAAACATAAAACATTAGTTTAATCCTCTTACCCAGACTCAGTATCGTACAATCATCGTCGAACGTAAAATTCTTGCCAGCAATTTTGTTCCACTTTCGATACTCGCTTCGAATGGAGACAGACAAGACAGATTTAAAAAAAAGAAAAAGAAATATAAAGTATTAGTTTTACAGTCGAATTCTTCTACCTAGGCTTAATAAGCAACACGATCATCGTGGAACGTAAAATTCCAAGAAGAGAGGGGAAAAAAAACACAATATACAAATGACGAGGGAGAAAACTAAGGTTGAGGAGCGGTCGATCCATGGTTCGGTTGTTTCCTCGGGATAAGTTGAGTACTCACACGTGGACAGGTTTTGACAGAGCTCGCAGCACGGAACCAGTCGCACACGAACGAGCGACGAACGTGGATCGGCGAACAGGTTCACCGATCGTGCACACCTGGGGCAGGTTAAACGTGCGTAATCGACACGCGAGAGTCTGTGCCGCGTTTAAGGAACGTGACGACCGATCGTGTCGCCGCCAATCATCGGGCGAAACCGATTCTCCTCCTCGAACTCTCTTGGCTCTGTTCGAAAATTCTTGGCGTGGGAGAAGATACGCGTGTGAATAACAAAGTTGCAAAGTTGTAAAGTTATGATAGGAAAAAAGAAAAAAAGAGCCTCTCGACAATTCTTTTAAAATTCCATCAAAATCGTCATCTTAAGATTTTAGATTTTGGCAATTATTGTTCGTTTAATGTCTATATTTTTTGCTAATTAAATTATTATGTATTCCAGCTTCTTAGAATCTCATTTATTATATCAACTGTTTAATTTCCGTATTTTTTTTAATGGAAATCAATCTCTGTTACCCTCGTTTAATTTAAAGCAAACTCCTAAGAGAGGCACAAATTATAGATTTCCTGCATTCTGAGCATTCTATGATATCGGATGAAAGAGGGAAAATTTTTCAGATGTCTGGCTAATGATTGTGCCGAGTGTAAATTATGCAATGACCATCGCGCGAACCGTGTATTGGCAGGAAGAGTCGGAGAATGGATCGAGTCGCTTTGAAATGCAAATGCCCTGATTCACGAGTTCACCCAAAGAAGAATGCACGAATCTCGGCGCTTCGTTTTATTGGAATTCGGAAAAATATTTACTATTCGCGCAAGTTTCTTACAAGATCCTATTTATTTGGATCTCACAAATTTTTCTGAAATTTCCAAAACGTTTAAACATTGAAAAAATCGAAACATTGGATCACTCGAGTTTTACAAAATGTTTCTTAAAGTTTAAAATTCTTGGCAAAGAAATAAACCTACATCAAGAAAAGTATGTGAAAACACGAAAGATTAAATCGCAAGCGAGTGAACCCAACTAACTAAGTAAAAACGTTTTGCAGATTCCATTCCTCGAAAGAGGTCTCGCGTATGACTCAATTGGTATCTCGATCCATTAAATTTCCCAATCATCTCCGGACAAACGCTTTTTCTCTCTAACAAGCACGCGTAACGACGCTGATTCACGCGATCCAACGACGATCGACGCTCGATTTCCTGGCCCCTCGGCTGCCTCTTTTCCCGGCGCGAACGGGAGTCACGCCTACATCGCCTACGGTCCCTTCCCCCCTCCCACTTTCTTCGTTCGATCTTATCTGAAAAGCAGAGAGCCCCGTGGAATTCTCCGGCCGCCTTCGTTCGCCACAAAGAAACGGTGTGGTCCCTCTCCATCGAGATGAAATCGTAGCTCGAGAACGCAACCGCGATCCACGATAATCGATGAACGCCTCCGAGATCACGCTCGATTCCATCATCCTCGATCCTCGCGATTCTCGCTAGTTTCTAGGCGTATCTTTCGCCTAGCGAGATCGCTTCCGACGTGTCATTTATCCAACGCGCTCGAATCTATCTTCTCAGTTTCGTGTCAACCGATCAATTTGACGGCGGAGTAGAGAGAGGATCGTCAGAATCTTCTTTTCTATCGCTCGAAACTTCGCAATGGTAATAAAGACTTACCAAGATTTTATAAAAGTTGCGAGTGAAATGAAGGATAAATATCGGGATCTATCCCTTTTTACTTTTATTAGAAATAAAGGATCGGCAATAGAAACGACGAATGCGGAAGGAAAAAAACCTCCAACGACGAGGTATCGACAATTTAATCGTAAAAACGAAGATTCCAGGATCTTTTATTCCGAATGGTTAAAAACCGCGGATCGCGGCGGAAAAGGAAGAGATCCTGGTGGTAGCGGCGTTGTGTTTTGTCTCGCCGCCAGAAACCGGCCTGTTTCCCTCCCTTTCTCCCGTGGCGCGCCTCGAGAGCCTGCCGCCAGTGACTGATGACGACAGAAATAACCCTGTTCCATCTTTCCGCCGGCGCACGTGTCCACGTTCGTGGGCAAACCTACGCCAACACGGTGTGCCGGAAACAGAAGGGAACGAAAGCAGCGTGCAGATCGCGCGATTTGCCTTCGAGCGCCGGATGGACGCATCGAAACACGAGAAATATTCCAGGTTCAAGGATCGCGTTAATAATAAATGGAAACTTGATGATTTTGAAAAAGGATCAATGGGGTAATTGATTGTAGTTGGTGGAAGGTTTTTAGAGATTCAGTTGAACGAAGAGGAATTGAAAGCTTTGTATTCGGCAATTTCCACAGATTTTCGATGAAAATTAAATTTCTGAGCAAAAATTAAGCCTCGAGGCTATTTTATATCTTGATTCTTATTGGTTAGTAGTTCTTCGCAAGTTCATAAATCTTTCTTTTTTTCATTCCTATAAATATTCAGGACCACTCGTTCCAAAAATTATTTTGACATCGAGGTTGCAGATACATGCAACTGTAGACAACAAAACTAATGGATCTTATTCTGCGCCTAATCACAGATACAATATACAGCTTGATTGGCATAAAAACGAGCGATCCCTTTCATAAGTAATTGTATATCTCGTACGAGGGAATTATAAAGCGTATTCAAGTGTATTGCATTTCGATTCATTATGCAATTATGCATAAAAGGAAAGGTGTAATCGGATTTGTTCGGCGAGGATGCAATTCATAATAGAGATTGACGTCGATGTAGCGTGAGAGAGCGTGTTGCACTCGTACCTGGCGAGGAATCCTGTAGAACACGCGCGTTCGTGACACCATCGACTAAATCATCGGAATAATGATATTTCGGAATCGAGATTAAGATTCTCCACGAGAAAAATGATTTCACCGGTATACCCTTGCAACATTGTGAACAGCACGACGAGCGGTATTAAACTCGTTCAACAGGTTGCTAAGAGGCTGTACACTGTCGCATTACGGCCAATATAAATTTTAAAAACGTGAACGAAACGATTAAAAGGAACAAAATTGTTTCTCCTCGCATAATAAAATAAAGCAATTATTTGCACAGACATCTTTGTGTTGTGTCGTGAATGATTCCAATGTAGGTAAATTATTCCTACGTGGAGGAGTATATAAATGAACGAAGATAAAATCTACTTTTTTCACAGCGCCGCGACGACATCCCGATTCCCGCGCCATGAATTACCGCGGAACACGGTGGAACACTGAATCATCAAAAATACTAATGGCACTAAAATATACCTCGCGTACCGTATAGCGTTAGAGTAGAGGAGATCGAGGATACTATGAGTCACGTTTACGGTTCGTTTAACTGGTTACGAGCTCATTGTCCTACGCTAAATTGTTCTATTCACGATCGCGTCGATCGGGCACAGCCGACGAAACGAAGAAAAGATTCGAACACGAGTGTTCCCTTCCATCGTTTTCACTCTCTCTCGAATATTTCTGTAAAGATTAATTAAAAAAAAAAAAAAAAAAAATAAAGGAAACATAAAATTCCCCTTTCTCTAGAAAAATTAAAGAGAAGAAAAAACGTGATCGAAGTCGGAGAAAGACAGAAGACGATAGAAGATGGCAGCAAGTTGGTTAAAAATATAAACGGAGGAGGTGTCTAACTCGTCTCTCAAGAGATACTCTCCGGCTGTCGGTGGCCTCGCCACGCGATTTATGGCCCGTTAAACGAGCAAAGCCGAGAGGACGAAAACTTTTTCCAAAAACTTCGCCGCCCACGCACTCTCAGGCGCTTCGATCCTCGAAAAAAAGCTCCTCGAGGAGCTTCTCTTGGGAAGAGAGAGGAAGAGAGAGGAGGCACGTTTTCGTGTTCACGATAACGTGTTTACAAAATATCCAGCGGAGGCATGGGCCACATGCCGATGGCCCACGAATGGTCCCTCGCACGGTGGTCCTTATGACTAATAGCCCCGGTGCCCGTGGCTTGTTCCATTCCACGGTGGTGTTCTACCGTTCTTTGTCTCTCTTTCTCTCTCGAAACGAACCCGTAGACAAACGAAAAAGAAAATAAGATCCGTGCGAGGCGGTGACCGACACACAGCTCCTTCCAACCTCGTCTCCCTGACATAATCTCTAGGCCGGGCCAAACTTTGGGGCTCGTCCCACCAAGGAGAGAGCGAGAGTTGGCGGGAAACTCGATGTTTGTCCATTAAGTTATCGTGGCTACGATGCCACGTTATCACGTCACCGCGCGCGTTTCGACCATGTCCAACTAACTCTGTACGGGGACGAATGACGAATGCACGAGTGTTATCGAGTTTACTGCTGCTTTACAGCCTCTTTTTTTTCTTCTTCTTTTGCCTCTCAGCGATAGAGAAGCTATCGGAGAGAGAGAGGGAGAGACTTACTTTTGGTATATATATATTTTTTTGACAGATAGTGGCACAGTGTCGCGCAACTTTCTACTCATCTGCATAACGTCGTTGAACGTTGGAGAATGGATAGATGGATACAATGGGCAAG